TACTAAATGACAAAGAGCAAACAAAGACTAAATGCTGCAGAAGCCCATTCATATGGCATGAATAAAGTAGTAACTCAAGCAATGACTTATCAGACTAGTGGGTGCCTGCAGGTCAGAATCGAGATCGACTATAGTCATTAAGCCTGATGATAGAGATGCTTCTTAATCTTGCTGTGACAATGGCTACACCACTACACATAACTGCTAAAATCCAAACTCCATGGCCAGGTATGGGAGATACACCTTTAATCCCAGCATTCAGGAGGCAGAGGCAAACGATCTCTTATGAGTTTGAAGCTAGTCTAGTCTACACAGTGATCTCTAGGACAGCCAGAGGCACAAAAAAAAAGACCTGTCTCAAAAACACCAGAGAGAAAGAGAAAGAGAAAGAGAAAGAGAGAGAAAGAGAGAGAGAGAGAGAGAGAGAGAGAACACAAACCAACCCAACTCTGTGATCAAGATGAGCAAATGGGTACTATATGTAAATTACACATCAAGAGGAAGAATGATAAAATCCATGGCAACTGCACTTCCCTATTGAGTTTTAATAAATAGCAATGATGGTATTCCAACAATGTAAAATACGGCCTTAGTGTCTAGTTCTCAGTATCAAAATTTATACTATATTCCAAAAATAGTTCCTTTCCTGTAAATGTTAAAAGAACTGTATATACCTCCGTCTGCAAAACAAAAAAAAAACAAAAACACAAACACCCATCAATTGTTCTAAGAAGTAAATTTAACCAAAATTAAACTTTAATTCTTAAATTGTCTAGCACATTAAACTTACATATTTAAGTTTAATGTAAAGTCCTCTGTTTTTGAAGCACTGAAGACTTGCCTGCCAAATCTGTCACCCATGAAGTACGTACTTAGCTACTAATTTATACTCCTCTTCCAGGTGACAAACACTTGTTCCATTAATACAATTTTAACAGACCACTCTAACAGGCTTTAACTGTATAACAACGATTTCATTTAACATCAACTCATTGTCATCATTTCAGATCCCCCCCGCCCCCCCAGGGCCTAGCAAGCGCTCTACCACTGAGTTAAATTCCCAACCCCCATTTCAGATTTTTTAAAAATAATTTATTTAACTTTATTTTATGTGCACTGGTGTGAAGGTGTCAGATCTCTTGGAACTGGAGTTACAGACAGTTGTGAACTGCCATGTGGGTGCTGGGAATTGAACTCGGTCCTCTGGAAGAACAGTCAGTATTCCTAACCCCTGAGCCATCTCTCCAGCCCCATTTCAGATATTTTAAGCAACAAATTGAAGTTGTACAATATCAATTTTACTTAAACTAAGTTATTATACTGTCTAGCCATTCATGTAAGAGCATCTCTATTATAAAAGATATCAAAACCATTTTATTAAAAAGGAAAACACTAAGTACTGTTACAAGTGTTTGAGGTCAACCACAAATCACTCTGAACCAGCCTTCTAATGCTCCATTATGCGTATGACCAGGTAAACCCAGATCCCTGAGACACAACAAAAAGAGCTTCGAGATGGCTTTGCACTTAAGAGCTCTTGCTGTTCTTCCAGAAGGACCCAAGCTGGGGTCCTAGCACCCATGGTAGGCATCTCACAACTGCCTGTACCTCTAGCAGCTTGGGTACCTCACACCTTCTTCAGGTCTCTGCTGCCACCTCCCTGACACACGTGACATACACTCTCACATACACAAAACTAAACAAACCGTTAGTTTACAAGTTACACGGCAGTAACATTACCACTCTGTGTCTAATGGCGTTACTTTAGGATGCTCCTTTTGAGATGATGACTGAGAAGCTTGAAAAGAACTAAAATGGTGGCAGGAACCACAACAGTAATAACACTTAGCTGTTTGCTGGGATTGGGTTTACCTTTGGGGAAAAATGAAGCATGCTTGACGTCTCCGTAATTTTGTTCAGACGAGTACAGAATTCACAAAGCTCCTGTTATTGCCACATATCATACCTCCATTACTGCCTCTTATATAACTATATGGAGACATAATTTCAATTTTGGGGAACCTTAGCTGTGTTGTCTACTTTAGAAGACAGTATCCCAGTTTACTGTGCTAAGCCGGCCTTATAGAGAAATTGTGAAGCCACGATGGTCTATAAACATTGAATTTAATTTTTCCACTAATTATATATAAGGTCTTATCTTCATGGGTTTGATTACAGAAACTAATAAAGCAGTCTCTAAATAATGGGGGCAAAGTGCTTCTTTCGGAATTTTATTAATTGGATTTATATTCACAGTTGAATGGCAAAGCAAGACATTTTTGAATCTGTGAGACAAAGAAAGGAAGTAGTCTTGCTATTGGGTACCCCAAAAAACATCTTGTAGCTTTTCAAACTTACCAAATGCCTCAAGATGAAAAATGTATAATCCCTACCCCAAAGAAGTTGACATCTAATGCAAAAAATGTGGGAATGATAGAATGATTATAGCTGAAATGGAAAACAAAGAATAAAGTACAGAAGCACCCAAGCTGACCTGTTTAGAGAGCTGTCAGGCGAGGCTTTACAGAACAAATTGCTGGCTGGGAACCAAGGCGAAAAAGACCTGTAAAGAGTCTATCAATGAACAAAGTACTCCCAGCAAAGGACAGAGCATATACATAACGTGACCACATGACAGACTTACAAATGCTGATTCAGAGATCTATCTACAACAAACAATGCTGGAGATTCATGGGGGTGGAAGATACACGCCACGGCACATGTGGCAGAGGTCAGAACCCTGGGAGTGTCAAGGACTGACCTCAGCTCATGACCTCAGGTGTTGGTGGCAAGCACCTTTATTCTTTGAGCCGCCTCACTGACCCTTAAAACTTACTCTGGAATGCTTGACTACAAGGCATTTATTTAACAATCTGTAATGATCACATCAATGTAAGTACTTAAGATTACCAACTGTGGCTAAGAAGTTGACTTAAAGAACAAAAAGAAACTGGAAACGGCCTATCTACAGGAGATACTTAAACAAAAAGAAACTGGAAACGGCCTATCTACAGGAGATGCTTAAAGGCTTCTGACATAGTCTAGGAAATTTAAGTCACACTCATGCAGAGTACTACCAAGAACCACTCAGGCCCTGGACCCAAAGAGTCACGTGCATACTGTGCCTCTTGAATCCCAGCACCCCTACTATGGGGAAATGAGAAGCAGAAACAGGAACCCTATGCACTTACAGACCAGGGGGACGCAAATACAAAGAGCAACGGAGAAGAGATGTCTGAAGTGGGCAAGTATCTGAGCAGCTTCCTTAAACTAGCTGCTGACTTTTTTTTTCTGTGAGTTAACTGGAATAAAGCGATTTTCTTTTAAAAATGTAAGTATAAGTTTAAAACGGAGAAAGTGAGAACCAACCACGAGAACTGTGCTGACCTCCACAGCTGCACCAGGAAACAAGTGCACACTCACTCACAGACCTGCGGTCCACTTTTGGTTGTTTAGTATCCAGATGCCACTCCTGACTAGGAACAGCAAAAGCAGCACCCACACGACACTTCTTTCACAGGGTTCTCAAAAAATTAAAGCACCAATCCGAAACCATGCCATCTACTACACGCCTCAGCACACACCTTATTTAATCAATCTCACGCAACTGCCAGAGAGGACTACACTGGTTTAGACCGGCATCCACCCCCAGACACCTATGTGCTATGTACCAGGTGTTAGGATATACACTAAGTTAGTTTCAGAAGAATTTAATTGTGAACTGTTAAATTAACTGAAAGAAATGTTATTAGGGTCTGGAGAGGTGGCTCAGAAGTTAAGAGCACTAGATGCTCTTTCAGAGGACCTGGGTTTGATTCCTAGCACTGCCATGGCAGCTCACAATCATTTATAACTCCATTCCTCTTCTGGCCTCCGGAAGCACCTCATGAACATGGTACACAGACGTACATGCAAGCAAAACACTCATACACATAAAATAAAAATAAAGATTAAAATAGTCTTTAAAACGTTACTTATAGACAATTATAGTTCAAGTTCTTCCGAATTTTCTTTAATTAATCATTTAAAAAACAACAGCAGCAGGAGGGAGAAAGCCAACTAGAACCAGAGAAGTAGAGTCCACACATTTAGAATATTACATGACAGACACCACTATATGCATTTGACGGGCATTTAACCTCAAACAATTCTGTGTAGAAAGTCGCGTTATTACACCATCTGATGGGGCTGAGCACCTTCATTAAGGCTACAGCGATAGAGCTAGGGTAGCTGAGAGCAATGCCAGAGCCCTCAGCTCATCCTTTACATCGCTCTGAAATGAAGGCGCTGCATGACCTGTTCATCATATCCTGTAGTATTTTCTGAATGCCTCCTAGAAGAAATTCTGTGTTTAGTACCAAGTGGTAACTCCTCAGCAGTGGATCTTTTCTCATGCCACATACCACTGACCACCATTTCTTTCTCCCTTTGCAGTGGATATTTCAGAAGTCAGACGGAGATTTAAATCACCTAGAGTACATAACAAGTTTATATAAATACATTTAGATTATACTAGTTCTAATTTGGCCATTGTGGTGGTTTTAATAGAATTGGCCCCCATAGGCTGGCTCATAGATTTCCCACCAGGCCGATAATGGACTAAACCTCTGAATGTAAGTCAGCCCCAATTAAATGTTTTCCTTTATAAGAGTTGCCATGGTCATGGTGTCTCCTCAAAGTACTAGAACCTTGACTAAGACAGCTGTTTATTAGTAAGCCATTACTTAACCTCATGTGGCCTACTGATTTTTTTAACATTCTCAGTATTAATTATCACTTAAATCTAGCTAAAGAATATATGAGGGCCCAGAGACCACCCCCTGAAGTGCTGCCTAGACTCCTAGTAAATACCAGACATGCTACTTTAATCTCAGCAGTTTGGACTTGAGAAACAAATCAATATCCACAATTCTCTTAGTTTCAGAATGTCACTACTTAACGATACGACACACACCACAGTCTTGACTATCACTTAGCACTCCTGAAGAAGTAACAATTACCGGACTTCAAGGGCTTTAATGGCCTCCAGCATTTGTAGAAACTCTGCTGCCTTCCACACGTCATTGGCTTCTTCTTCTCCCTGTATCATTAGTTTTGCTGTGTACGTGAACTCAATTAAGTGACGAAAAGCCATTTTACTAACACCTGGAAAAAAGATGCACATTATCATTAGTTCACATCAAGTCTAGGGATTTGATTACTTCTCATCTTTGAAATTTTCCACAATCCTCATCATCACAATCAATATCTTAGTCACATTCCGGTACTATGTACCATGGTTAAGATCTCATATTCCGCCGGGCAGTGGTGGCGCACGCCTTTAGTCCCAGCACTCAGGAGGCAGAGCCAGGCGGATCTCTGTGAGTTCGAGGCCAGCCTGGGCTACCAAGTGAGTTCCAGGAAAGGCGCAAAACTACACAGAGAAACCCTGTCTCGAAAAACCAAAAAAAAAAAAAAAAAAAAAAAAAAATCTCATATTCCCCTTTCCAATTCTGAGAAGCCCAGTCCAGGCCCCCCTCCACACACACACACACACACCTTTTTAAGGTTTAGTTTTTACTTTAAATTTTGTGTCTGTGTGTCTATGAAAGTCAGAAACAATGGATCCCCTGGAGCTAGAGTAACAAGTGGTTGTAAGCCACATGATGTAGGAGCTGGTAATCGAACTCAGATCCTCTGGAAAAGCAATGTACTCTTAACTGCTGAGCCTCCTCTCCAATCCCTGCCCCTTAACTATGAATTTGACCATTTCAGATAGTTATATAAGTAAATATTTTATCATTTATCGTTCTTTAACTGGCTTAATTTAACATGTTTTCAAGGTTCATACATGTTACATACAGAATTTTTAAAGGCTGACCAATATTCTATTTGAATCAGCATCATCCTGAAGATGCTGATGCCAATTCTTTTGCATGGATGCTCAGATGTGGAATTACTGGGTTATGTGTGTTATGGCTTGAAGATGAAATACCCTCCCAAAGGCTCACGTGTTAACAGCTTGGCCAGCTGGTGGCATGTTCCTCAGACTGGATCCTGAGAATGCCTACTCAAAGCTAATGGACTACTAAGAGACGGGGCCTCAGTTAGTCTGCCCTGCAGACTGTGTGTAGCTTTAACTGTCCTGTTTCCACTGGACACTGCTCTTCATACTGTGCTTCTAGAAAAACATTTTAAACTCAGATATGGACAGGGGCATTTATATGCCAACGAAGTTTTAGCTACCTCACATAGGAAGGGCTCAATAAATGTATGTAGAATGGATTTTAAAGAAGGGCTGATTAGAGGAGGGTCTTTCTTGCTTACAAACTGAGCAGCTGTTCTGCTGCAGGCCTCTGCTTCGGCACCTGCTCTGTGTCAAAGTGCTCCGCCTTACCACAACCTCTAGAACTGAGCCAAAGGAACTCTCCTTCTTTGGAAAGCTGTTCAGTACATATGGCGTTTCTAGTTTAAACTGTTGGAATGCTTCCCGTTTTCCACAGTGGCCACACTCCTCTCCAATTTTTCTCACCACCCCACCTTCTGCGTCCTTGACACCCTCTTCACAATGTATGGTGATTCTTGCTAAATCTGACTTGTCTGATGAGTGAGGATGCAGATGGAACATTTTTTTTCATATACTTAATGGTTATTTTTGGAGAAATTTCTACCTAATTCTTACTATTTTTAAATAACGTAGTTCTAAACTTTAAGTTGTCCGAGTCTCTTTCAGATAGTTACGTGGTTTGCAAGTGTTTTCTCCCACCCCATTAGTCGTGCTGTCTCCTTTATTATGTCTGCTTTTCTGCTGTCTATGATCTTAATGTCATACTCATGAAACCCTTTGCCTAAGTCTTACTCTATTAAGAGGGTATAATTAGTCAATATGGTGTGCCGCCTGCCACACTGATTTTTGCACAGAACTATCCTTGTATCACAGGAACGAATCTCACTTGGTCAAGGTAAATCATCTTTAATTACTATGGTGCTGAATTTAGGTTCCTAGTCTATGTGTTTATGTGCCTACAGAGTGAGAGTATACAGTTCAGAAACCAGGACAGTTTTTGAGGCTCTTCTCCTTCCACCTTGTTTTGAAGCAGATACTTCTTTGTTTCTGATGCTGTGCTGGGAACCCCAGGCTAGCTGGCTCGTTCTCTAGCTTCAGCCCGTTCTCCATCACCCCACTGGAGCACTGAGGTCACAGATGCTTGCTACTGCACCTGGTAGGTTCCAAGGATCAAATTCAGAGTTTCAGGCTTTCCTTACAAGTTTTTACTTGCTGGGTCACTCCTCTAGTGGGTCCCACTTACAGCTAGCCTTGAACCTATGACAATCCTCCTGCTTCAACATCCAAGTAACAGGACTGACAGGTGCCAGCCACAATTAGTTTCCTAATATTTTACTGACAATTTTTACATCTATAGTCATCATAATGGATATTGGTCTACAGTTTTCTTTTTAAGTTATTTGTTTATCTTGCTATGGTATCAAGAGTCATGCTGGTCTCAAGTAAATCTGTAAGTGTTTGCTGGGCAGTGGTGGCACATGACTTTCTAGCACTCAGGAAGCAGAGGCAGGTGGATTGCCGAGAAACACTATCTTGAAAAACAAAACAAAATTGGAAGTGTTCAATTGTTTTTAAACATTTATTCTTATTCATGTGTCTGTATGTATATACACACATAGGTGTGTGCAGAGACCTAGGGAGAGTATCAGGTCCCCCTGGAACTGGAGGTACAGTTATGAGCCATCTGACATGGGTGATGGGAATAAGACTCAGACTCTCTGAAAGAGCAGTTATGTGCTCAGAACTGCTGAACTATCTCTCTAGCCCTTTATTTAGTTTTTTTGAGTCTCAAGATGGCATGAATTCTTTAAATGCTTGACAGAGTTCACTAGTGAAGCCATCTGATCCTAGGCTTTTCTTTGTTCAGAGGTATTTTGATAACTAATTCAATCTCCACAGGAGGTCCTTTATACTGTTCCCTCATGATTTAGTAACAAACCCTCAGTATTTCCCACAGGCGCAATTCGGCAACTGCTCTGGTCATTCAGTTTATAGAACTCTCTTCACTGTAACCCACTGGAGAGAAATAATTTCTGATCTGTACATTCACCTCAGAGCCTCTAACAAAGCTTTCCAAAATACAGGCACTTACAAGAAGAAAAAATAAATGCTAAAGTGACTTTTGAAATAAGTGACTAGTTCAAGTGTGTTGGCACACACCTTCAATTCCAGCACCCAGGAGGCAGGAGGATCTCTATGGAAGTTAGAGGCCAATCTCATCTAACAAAGTGAGCTCCAAGCCAGCAAGGACTACAGAGTGACATAATGAGACCCTGTCTCAAAACAAAACAAAAACTGTGTTTCTACAAAATCCTATTTTTCTTTTCAAGTTTTGTGCTTAAATTTAATAACAAAATGACACTATTTCTGTATGCCCTTACTGCTAGGTATTATTGTTTCAGTCTAGCTAAAGCAAGAAACAATTTAAGAAGGTTATTTAAGCTGGGTGTGGTGGCTCTTGCCTTTAATCCTAGCACTCTGGAAGCAGAGATGGGCAGATCAAGGCCAGCCTGGTCTACAGAGTGAGATCCAGGACAGCCAGGGATGTTATACAGAGAAGACTCTGCCTCGAAAAACAAAAAACTTGAGTGTAAGAAGGCTATTTAGCTGGTGGTGGAGTCAGAGGCAGGTAGATCTTTGTGAGTTCGAGGGCAGCATGGTCTACAGAGTGAGTTCCAGGACAGGCACCAAAGCTACCAGAGAAACTCTATGGGGGGGGGGGGTGCTATTTAAAAACCCTTTTATGTTTGTTCCAGTTACTTTACACATCCAAATGTGGCCATAAGTATTCTATTCAGTAATCTTTACATAAAGAAAGGGTATTGGGGCTGGAAAACTGGCTCAGCAGTTGAGTGTATGGCTCCTGCAGAGGACTAAGTTCCGTTCCTAGAACCCATATCAGCGGCTCACAACACCTTGTGGCTCCAGCTCAAGGGATTCAATATCTTTGGATACACACACACACACACACACACACACACACACACACACACCCCACATAATTTTAAAACAAAAGTAAATCATTTTAGAAATGGGAGGAAATAATTTTACACCTTAGTCCCAGCTCTTCCAGAAACTGATTTGGGGCAAGACAGAACTTTAGAACTCATTCTGACTCATCTTCAAAATCGTCACAAAGCAACTTGAATAGAGAAATACTAAAACATAGTGCACACCGAGTTATGTGATACTAAGTAAGCAAACTAAAAGTAAAATGTTTTTAGTTTAGTAAAAAGACACTGTTTTTTAATCAGACAACACATATTTATCATACACCAGGCACAGTATTATAGTTACTGAATCTTCATGTCTATGAACTATTGATTAAATGTTTAAAAACTAGGAGCAAACCTAAATAGTATAACTCCTAAGTCTATGAAAAAAGACTTAGCAATTTTTCCTTGGTGCCTGGAAGTCTGAACATCCCTGGTCTACAGGGTTACATTATCATATTCATAAACCAACATCCTCCACGTTACTTTCAAAAGTTGGACAAGTGAATCACTGATTCTCCCAATTTAAATGTTTTTTTGTTTTTGTTTTTTTAATTAATGGCTTTTACCAGAGAGGTTTCACTGAACCCTTGTAGGTACTGACATATTAGGTATTTGCACTATTTCAAGTACAAAAATTGAACACAGTAAGAATCTAAAACAAACTGGGCCTGGTGGTGAACACATGTAATCCTAGCACTCAAGTGTTAGGTCAGCCCAGTAAGACTCCATGAAACAAGTGAGAGAGAGAGAGAGAGAGAGAGAGAGAGAAACTGCACCAACTCTATTAAGATCACAAATTATTCTCCTGGTGCTCAACAGGGCTGAAAGGGCTGGCCATCTGTTTGTAGAAAACCCCACATGGTATATGCTGTCTAAAGCTGCCAAGAAGGGGTTGGGCGGTGGTGGTGGCGGCGGACGCCTTTAATCTCATCGCTTGGAAGTCAGAGGCATGAGGATCTCTGTGAGTTCAAGGCCAGCCTCTTCTAAACAGCGAGTCCCAGGACTGGCTCCAAAGCTACCCAGAGAAACCCTGTCTCGAAGAAAAAAAAGAAGCTGCCAAGAGGGCTGGAGGGCTGGTCCAGTTAGAGCACCACCTGCTCTTCCAGAGCACCTGACTCAAGTTCCAGCACCCGCATGGCGGCTCACAACGGTCGGTAATTTCAGTTCCAGAGGGCACTCCTTTTAGAAAAAGAAGCTATCAAGCCGGGCAGTAGTGGTGCACGCCTTTAATCCCAGTACTCGGGAAGCAGAGGTAGCCAGGTCTGTGTGAGTTTGAGGCCAGCTTGGTCTACAAAGGGAGTTAGTTCCAGGACTGTTACACAGAGAAACCCTGTCTCGAAAGAAAAAGAAAAGAAAAGGAAGCTATCAAGAGCCACAATAACCTCGAACACTGCCCTCTTGAAAACTGGCCTCTGGACATTTTTCTCACATTATCAACACAATTAACATTCAGAAAAAAAAAACCAAGTTTGATCAAAGTTAGGAAAAACTGTCGAAGGGAACCGTGAAAGAGAAAGCTGGGATGTTTACTGTTTCTAGAGCTTTGTCTGTACTTTTCTCACTCCTGCGGAGCCCTTTCCCTGTGGGAACCCGTTCTCGGGTTCCTCGTGCCTTTACCCAGCAGGTCTGCAGAGAGGATGATTGGGACCACGGGCCTGAGTGCAGGTGTCTGAGATGGTCTGCACTTGGCTGTGCTAGGGAGGAGGTCTTTTGCTCCACCCGGGCAGAGACAGTCGGGCCATTGGAATAGGTTCCAGACCCTCTCGAGGCTATCCTTTATTTTCTATCTGTTTATCTCCACAATATAAATCCTTCTAATATTTCCTGCTGCTCGCACTCAAGAAAACTCTGGGGAGCTGTGGGGTTGGTGGGTAAACGCCCCACATTTCTCCAGCCCTGTTCCAAATCTGGATTAATCAGAATCATCAGTCCTAAGGGCTTTAAGTATGGTTCTCTGATCTTTTGACTCAAACCTAGGAATGTTATTTATTTAGCTTAATATGAGCACTTCAGAGTTTGTTGATGTAACCAGCCCAGGACTCTCCTAGGAGCACCCCAATGACTTTATTAATTAGCTAATATAAATCAAGCTGGCAATACCTGCCCACATAAGTGAAGAGGCAGCAGATAGTAGGCTTGCAAAAATATAATTTGGTATTTTAAGGCTAAAATATTTATTTATTTCTTTCTTTTTTTTTTTTTTTTTTTTTTTTTTTTGGTTTTTTGAGACAGGGCTTCTCTGTGTAACAGTCCTGGCTGTACTGGAACTCACTCTGTAGACCAGGTTGGCCTTGAACTCACTGGATCCGCCTGCCTCTGCCTCCTGAATGCTGGGATTAAAGGTGTGTGCCATCACTGTCCAGTAGGGCTAAAACAATTCTTATCAATCCCTTATTCCTCTCAAAGTGGAAATATTCAGGAAAAAAAAAATTTTTTCCCAAGAGAATGTTATCTGAGGAAAATGTTAAAGAACACTTTAAACCTCAGTCTTCTCATTGGAGCAATATTCTGACATTTCCCTAGTCTGGATTAAAAAACAAAACAAAACAAAACAAAGAAACCCTGTCTTGAAAACCAAAAAAAAAACCAAAAAATAAAATCATACTCAGAACTAACTTTTGGCTGGGTGTGGTGGCATATGCCTTTAATCCTAACAATTACAAGGCCAGCCTGGTCTATATAGTGAGTTCAGAACAGCAGGGGCTATATCAGAGATCCTGTTTTTAAAACAAAATACAAACAAACAAAAAACAAAACTATGATTTTTAATGTTTAATAGGTCCTTAGCTGTCTTGTCCTTGACATTAGGGATGAAATTTTCTGGACACAAGAGAATTGCCAGAGAAGAAATCAAATGATTTTAGATCTGTAGATTCAGAAGCAGAAAAAGAATAATTTAGGGACTAGATGTCTCTGGAGATGACATACAGCTAAAGTCCAAGTAACAAAGCTGAGTATGTAACTGGCTTCAGGAGCAACAATTTTTTTTCAAAGCCATTGGAGGTGATTGGGAGGTGGGGTGGGGGAGGGTGGGCAGGACATGACAGCTGTATTTCTAGTCAAAGGTACTTCATTGTTCACATTTTACAAATGGGGATTCTGGTTCAGCTGAAACAGAGAAAGCACAAGAACACCCCATCCCATCTTTCCACAAAACTAAAGCCCTGGAGAGAATACACAGGATTCTGCAAAGAGCTGCCTAGACAGTGAAATCAAACAGCTGAATTTTAAGATTTTTATTTTTCCTCCCAAATATCCTGGCTTAGACTTAAGGAAAGCCCAAATCCCAAAGAAAAAAAAAGCTCCCAGAGAAATTTCTAGAAAAGCAAGCAAGATGATAAAAGGGGTGTATGTATGGGGGGATGAGGTTAACTTGTTTTTTCTTCTCTCTGCAACATGCAAAATAAGCTGTAATTCTAAGTCAGGTACTCTTGACAGCAGTACAAAGGTGTCCATGTGTTTGAGATCTTGCTATAGCTCATGCTGACCTCAAATTTCCAATCTTCTTGCCTGTCTCCCTAGAGATGGGATTACAACTGGGATTAGCACCTTGCCAGGACTATGAAGATTTTGGAACTGAATTCAAATTGGATGCATAGCCTAAAGGGTGTCTGGACCCAGACAGGCTGACTGCATGCTCAAGTAAATACCACCAAAAGCATTCTCTAAAGGAACAGCACCTACTCTTACGCCAAATGTCCATGACATAATCCAAACTACTTTATGTATTTTACAGTCTGAAAAAAGGAAGCTACATCCTTCAAGATCGTATAATAAACAGTGAAACCAAGACCAAAACTCATGTGCTCAGGGCTTTCTTTACAGCCAGGTGACCTTGGGAGAAAATAGAGCAATCTCAGAGTTAATGGTTAAAATGATAATAAAACTCATTTTTTAAAACCCTGAACCTGGCCAAATAACAAAACAAGTACTTTCCATTTTATTTGGTTTGCAACTTACGTACTTAAGGTTTATGTGTACCACACTATGACAGATAGATATAGGTCAGCGGTACTGAGAGAGAGAAAACAGCAAACAGTTTTTCGAAGGGAAAACCCCTTCTCCAGTGCTGCTTTCTCAATGAGCACAAGTAAGCTAACCTGGGCCGGGGTCTAAATGTCAGGTGTGAGGGAGGCTCACCGATGAAAGTGCTTGTTGTGCAAGCAGGAGGACTGGAGTCCAGCTCCCCAGGACCTCTGCAACAACCTTGAGGCTGCTGCGGCGATCTGCTTTTCATTAGAGCGCGGGGAGGACGGAGACAGGGTTAGCTAGACTAGCCACCTCTGGGTTCAACTGTGAGACCCTGCCTCAAGGAATAAGGTGGACAGCCATCAATGAATACCAGATGTTGGCCATGGACCTGGACTGTGTACAGGCACAGGAGTTGCCCCCCCCCCCCCACACACACACACAATTTTCTTGATAACCTTTGCCTAGTATAGTCCGCTCCTCTCTGAAACTATAATTCCTAACATAGACTAAAGCAATACCACCCATAGTAACAGTCTCTGTAATACATTTGCACGCCTCCTTTTAAACTGTTGCTATTACATTTTCAAGCTCTTCAAGGAATGCTGTATTCATAAATTCCTCAATTCTTGGGTCTAGCACGCTACATAACACAACAGGTAATCAATATGATGAACAAGTCCACCTACCAAGCTTCGGCAGTACACCAAATGCAGTGACAGGTCTCCTTCCTGACTATTCCAACTAATCATTGCAAGCCTATTAACCCGCTTTTCAGATGAGGAGACAGATACGCAACTGAGATGAAGTAACTTGTTAGCTACTTAGCAAGCCAAGCTGATGGACTTGGCTTGTAGTAAAAACAGTACTATCTAGGCAGCTAGATTCTCCCTAGCAATCGCTGTGTACGACCAGCACGCCCACGCTTGGTCTATCATATGTAATAAGAAAATAACTTACCTGCTGATATATTAACTAAAATATACCAAAACTAAAGAATAGTTGTAACTCTTTTCTTTACTCCCCTAGGTATCAATTATTTCACCAAAAGAAAAGTTTCTAAGCAACCCACTCATAATAAAGAATATATACAAAGTAAGAAAAAGACACAAAACCAAAACTCTGAAAGAAGTTAAGATTCTGTATTTACATAGACAAATGTACTTATCTCCAACTGCTCTAGAGTTTGATGGGGTATGGGGTGAGCATTGTAGCAAAAATAAAAGCATGAAAATAAATAGTACAAACTCAATCTCTTGCTAACCTTGGGCAAGTAAACTTTGGAGCCTGGTTCTCATGTGCAAAATGGAAATACCACCACGTGCTTTTCAAAAGATTATATGATACACAAATGTCACTTGGCCTGCTAAAATTTGGGAGAAAATGTCAATCATGTCAGGCGGTGGTAGTGCATGCCTTTAATCCCAGCACTCAGGAGGCAGAGCCAGGTGGATCTCTCAGAGTTTGAGCTGGCCTGGTCTACAGAGAGAGATCCAGGACAGGCACCAAAACTACAGAGAAACCCTGTCTCGACAAGAAAAAAAAAAAATGTCGATCATTTTGTTTCAAAGTAATACCTATCTGGATCCCCTCTCTCCTAAACATTATACCACCACCAAATCTAAGCTGCATGTTACTTTATGAGTTCATCTTTTCATCATTTCTTCTAGTAGAGTTTCTCCTGTAACTTAAAATATCTCTACCATAATCTAATATCCCTAAAGCATAAGGTCACTAAAACAGAGATGATAGTTTCTATTCAAGCATACTCTGAAAACAATAATGAACCCTGGTTTCAGCAACAGGCCAGACTCATTTGGAACCAGCATCTACCACTTATTCCAAATGCTTTACTGAAAGACTTAAGTAATAAAGAACAATGTACCTAGTTGCCTACCAGCAACTATTGGTATTTATTTTCCAGGATGTCTTCCTAATCAACCAATTATTCTTGCTAAGTACTGTGTAGGAAGTGCCACTTACCTTCAATCTCAACCAAAGGTTCCTGAGTAAACTCCTGAAAGAATTTGTAGAAGAACTTACTGCAGGCAGCCAAAACAGCCTTGTGGGCCTTAAAATGGTGTCCTAAGGAAGGGGGGTTGGGTAGAGGGAGAAAAAGAAATCATACACTGGCACCAAAATCAAAGTTACTACTACAAAATGTATAAAGGAGACCTTTCTTCATAACATAAAGACATACCACATATATTATTAGAGAAAATTACTGTCAGATATCTAGGGATTTTTTATTTTTTATTTTTTGGTTTTTCGAGATAGGGTTTCTCTGTAGACCAGGCTGGCCTGGAACTCAGAGATGCGCCTGCCTCTGCCTCCAGAGTGCTGAGATTAAAGGTGTGCGCCACCATTGCCCGGCGGGAATTTTTAATTTTAATTAGACACGAAGATAAATTTTTAGCTTCAAAGACTTAAGCCAGTTTATAACGAATGTCTTCTAGCACTCTGTTCCATTCAATTAAGTAACAAGGTGTATTTAACCCTGTCGAAACTGTTAAATATGGGCTAGAGAAATGGCTCTTCCAGAAGACCCAGGTTCAGTTAATTCCCAGCACCCACATGGCAGCTCACAACTGTTTGCAATTCCAGTTCCAAGAGAACTGACACACTCTTCTGAGCTCCTTGAACACCAGTCAAGCATGCGGTGTGTGTATATATACATATATATGATATATATACATACACACACACACACACACACACCTGTAGTCAAAACACTCATACACATAAAATAAATTGCTAAATACGATAACAAGCCAACAGTTCATGCATCATTTAGAAAAAGGTATTATAAAAACAACAACAAAGTATAGGCCCAGTGGTGGTGGTACAGGCTTTTTTTTTTTTTTGGTTTTTTGAGACAGGGTTTCTCTGTGTAGCTTTGCGCCTTTCCTGGAACTCACTTGGTAGTCCAGGCTGGCCTCGAACTCACAGAGATCCGCCTGGCTCTGCCTCCCGAGTGCTGGGATTAAAGGTGTGCGCCACCACCGCCCGGCCTAGTACAGGCTTTTAATCCCATCACTCTGGACGCAGGGAGAGGCAGATGGATCTCTGTGAGTTCGAAGCCAATCTGGTCTACAGAGTGAGCCCCAGGACAGCCAGAGCTGTTACACAGAGAAACCCTGTCTTCAAACACCCCACCCCCACCCCAAAAGTACAAAGCTAGATGTGTCTGGTATGGGAAATGTTTCAATATGCCTAACATATTTGTAGGCACAACACACCTACAAACTCATGTAATAAGGAACAAGCTTGTCTTGAAAGCTCTTTTCACTAAATAGAAAAGAATCTCAACCTGGATTTGCCTTTACAAGGAAGGCTGGTAAAGACCCCAATTTATTTTGGAGTCGCCCAAATGTGGGGTGGTTATGAGTGTAGCCAAGGCCTCTCTTCCATTCTCCTTCCCACACCATTTTGGAAAACTAGAATAAAAATTTCCCAAATAATTCCTGTGCTGGACAGGATCCTCAAAGCCGCATGCTGAGAGGAAACTTATTAACAAAATGTTCAGACAGCCCCTCTGTCTTCTTACCAACATTTTGAGGTATCTTCTCTCTCCTCGAGGCCCTTATCCTACGCTTGAGTGTGCAATGAGAAAACTTGAACAGGTTGCAAGAAGTTAAAATGTGATGCACATCAGACTAGACTAAAATTAATACTGGCCAACCAGCTTTCTGCAGCATGGTCTACGTGAGCAACACTGACAAGCGCCCTCCCGGTTCCGATGCAAACCCTCCACAGACTTTTGGAAGAGAGCCCGGAGAGGGTGGGTAAAAAAAAAAAAGGCGGGCAGTGAGAGGGAACTAAAGCTCCAATTTTTCTCCTCTGCCCACTACCCTACCCACCGTCGACAATCAGGGTGATGTCTGTAAACCGGTCCTGCTCCCGTTGTTCATTCAATCGGTCCAAGATCATTTTATGATGTTCAGGAAACTCCTGAAGGCATTCCATCGTTTCTTCAGCCTCCATGGCCGTCGGGAGGCTCTACAAAAGAGGAGCATGATAATGTACACCCATGAGCTCGGGCTGACACCAAAACCCCTACAGCAGAAAACAAAACAAAACCCAGGAACGGAGCGGGGGGGAATAAAGAGGGGGAGGGGGGAGGCCGAGAGCAAGGCTGGGGAAGAAGAAAGGCGAGCCGAGCGGCCGCCGCGCGTCGCGGGCCGGAGCCGCGGCCGCGGGACTCCGAGCCTGACCTAATTGGAGTCTGGAGACGCGAGCTGGAGCGGGGTGGGCACGGTGCCGGAGGCTCCGGGCGCCCCGGAGCGCAAGTCCGGCCGGGGAGGGCACCGAACAGCCTCGGCGACCTCCCAACGGCCCGCCGAGACTTCCGCCCGGCCCGGGCTCCCGCAGCCCCAGCCCCGGTCCGGCCCGCGGCCCACAACGACTCCCCGGGTCGCCTCTCCCTCCGGCGCCCTCCCTCCTCTTTTCCCCCCCCCCGCCCCGACCCGGCCGGCACTCACTCAGGGAAGGAGGAGCGGCCCGGGGCCTGCGCGTCACTTACGTCGACGTGCTGCGTCACCGCGCCGGACGCGGACGTACCGGGGGCTCCAATCCCCCCCCCCCCGCAACGCCCGACCACGCCCCCGTCGCCCTGTCCGGAGGGGAGGGAGGGAGGGAGGCCCCGGGGAGGATTCGGTGCTGCCGCGGGGGCGGCCGTCGCCGCGTGCCGGGGCTCCGCGGGCTGCTGCGAGCGGCTTCTCCCGGGAGAACCGGGCAAGATCAGGAGGGGAAAGCCTGGGGGCCCCTCGAGCGCCGCGCTCCCGCAGCCCGTCCGCTCCCCCGCCTCCCCCCCACGCCGGGCTCAGGCGCTGCACTTCCGACCGCGAACTCCGAGAAAACTGGCTCCGTGGCCCGGGACGGCTTATGTTCTGCGGCCCGGCCCCGCCCCGCCCCGCCCCGCCCCCTTCCCGGAGCCGAGGTGGGCTCTTACCCTTCCCTAGCTGGCGCCGCGTCCGCGTGCCTCTCCTTCCACGCGCTCCCCTCCCCTGGCGCAGCTGGTCCGGTGCCCAGATCGCCCCTCGCCTTCCATCTTTCACTTGCGCAGCACTTGGGCGCTCGCACCGCAGGGACCCCCGCGGACGGACGCACTTGCGCCCCGGGCTCGGCGGCCGCGGGCGCGGGCGCGAGCACGCTCGGGGCGCCCGGGATCCCGGGGGAGCACGCGCCTTCAGACCCGGGGACCGACCGGGGTCCACTCCGAGAGATCCCAGTCGTGATTCCCCCCGCGCAACTCTCCGCAGCCGCCTCCTCGACCCTTAAAGAGGCTGGAGACGGCCAGTCGGCCGCACGTGGCAGGCTCCTCCATTCATTCATTCATCCAGAGAAAGGCGCGGTGGAGGCTATAATGCTGTAATTGGTGAGGTGTGTAGTGATCGTTAAATCTCCCAAGAGTTGGGAGGGTAAGCATTAATGGAAAGTCAGAGAGCTGTGTGCGAGAGTGGATGTAATCACGTTAACAGCTATCTTGATGCCGCGCTGTGGTAGTCACAGTTTAAGATAAACTTGGAAAAAAAAAAAAAAACCACCGCAGGGGTGGATGAGGCACACGTGCCTCCTACATGCTGACTCTGAACAGCAGTGGACTGATCGCTCAGTATTACACACAAGGTCATGTGCAGAGTCCAGAAAAGCCAACAAAGAGGTGTGTGTTTTTAGTCAAGCATACATGAAGGTCCAGCCGGAAGACAGATTGGAGATGAGAGGAATAATTACGAAGGGACAATTAAATGGCCGTGATGATATCAAAGAAGAGTTTTGCTATATGAGCCCCTTTGGGAGAAAGAACTAGCCTTAGAGATTCGCAAACTGTCAGCACACAGTGAGCATTAAAGACGGAAGTAAATGGGGATAATTTATGAATCAGCAAGAGTGACAGATTAGCGCTTTGTAGATTGAACTGGTCCACTGCTGTTTTTAATATTAGGGTTGTTATTATTCTCACTTTAATTTTTTTTAGATTTATGTTTATGGTTGTTTTGCCTTTATGTACATATGTGTACCACGTGCGTGCCTCTTGCCTAGAGGTCAGAAGAAGGCATGAGATCTAGAACTGGAGTTATGAACTACCACGTGGGTGCTAGGAATGGAAATGTAAGAGCAACAAGTGCTCTGAACCGCTGAGCCATCTCTCCAGCCCCTTATTAATACTATTTGTTAGAACAAGAAATTACATATAAAAATTGGCTTTGAGGAAACTCCAGTATATAAGTCTGCTTCCGTGTGTATTTGAGTTGGTTAAATGGAAAACACTTACGTATTTTTAGGATTTGAGCTCTCCAATTCACACAACACTTTTTTAATTTTTTTTTTTTTTTTTTTTTTTTTTTTGTGGTTTTTTGAGACAGGGTTTCTCTGTGTAGCTTTGCGCCTTTGCTGGATCTCACTCTGTAGCCCAGGCTGGCCTCACAAAGACCCACCTGCCTCTGCCTCCTGAGTGCTGGGATTAAAGGCGTGCACCACTACCGCCCGGCCTTGACACAACACTTTTTTAATATCTTAGACTCAGCTCATAACATTCATTTTTGTTGGTTTTTTTTTGTTTGTTTGTTTGTTTGTTTTTTTGGAGAAAGGATCTCACCATGTAGCCCTGACTGGCTTGGAATTTGATATGTAGACCCCATGGCCTCAAACTCAGATACACTTGCCTCTGCCTCCCTAGTGCTGGAATCAAAGGCATGCACCATCATGTCTGGCCATAGCATTCATTTCTGGATGCTTGCCTAGTCCAAAGTTTGAAGCTCCTGTGCTTAAAGCATCCAAGCGGAAGCAACAGTGTTTATCTCTGGAGAAGTGCCTGTTTATACACTTGAGTAGAAAAAACCCCAAAGGATTGAGAAGTGCAGCTTAGAGAAAGGTGGAAAACCACAGTGAGAAGGTATCAAGACCCGGGCAGCGGTGTCGCACGCCTTTAATCCCAGCACTCGGGAGGCAGAGCCAGGAGGATCTCTGTGAGTTCGAGGCCAGCCTGGGCTACAGAGTGAGTTCTAGGATAGGCGCAAAGGTACACAGAGAAACCCTGTGCTGTGGGATGTTCTGTATGGCAAATGTGTTGCTGATTGGTCAATAAATAAAACACTGATTGGCCATTGGCTAGGCAGGAAGTGTAGGCGGGACAAGGAGGAGAAAGAAGCTGGGAAGTGGAAGGCTGAGTCAGAGACACTGCCAGCCGCCACGATGAGAAACAGCGTGTGAAGATGCCGGTAAGCCACGAGCCATGTGGCAAGGTATAGATTTATAGAGATGGATTAATTTGAGCTGTAGGAACAGTTAGCAAGAAGCCTGCCACGGCCAGGCCATACAGTTTGTAAGCAATAAAAGTCTCTGTGTTTACTTGGTCGGGTCTGAGCAGCTGTGGGACTGGCAGGTGAGAGAGATTTGTCCTGACTGTGGGCCAGGCAGGAAAACTTTAGCAACAACCCTGTCTCGAAAAACAAAAAACAAACAAACAAAAAAGCTTCTGTAAACAGGGGCGGGGTGTGGGGGGGTGCTGCTTGAGATGGCCCAATCCCACATAAATGCCAAGTGGCTGTGGTATCCCTCCTATGATTTCAGACTTAAAGGCGGAGATGGGATTCTCAGAGTGAACTGGCTAAGCAAGACTAACCTGGGTTTGATTAAGAGACCCTGTCTCAATGTATAAGGTGGAAGGGAGATGGAGTATGATTCCTGACATGAACAGGTACGCCCCCACACATGCAAAGAAAAATACTCACAGCGGAGACAGGGGACACAGGTCAACTGTGCCAAGTGACCAGGCTAGACGAGGGGAATGGTTTTGAGATGCACTTGATGTGGCTTGGTCTTTATAAGAGACCTTAGTAATAGCAGATTCAGTGGAGTTATTAGTGGAGAGAGGGTCTAAGATATCTGTATCCAAGTAGATGAAGTAATAATTAGTAATATTTTAGTAATTGTAAGGAGCCAGATGTAGTAAGTCGCACATGCCTTTAATCCCAGCACTTAGGAGGCAGAAGCAGGCAGATCTCTGAGTTCAGGGTCAGCCTGGTCTGCAAAGCAAGTTCCCGGAGAGCCAGGGAGGTTTACATAGAGAAACGCTGTCTTGAAAAACCAAAAGTAAATAAATCTTAAAAATATTACTTTACGGATTCTGTTAAACGGCATCGTGGCTGTGACTTCACTGGGTTTTCATCATCTCTCACTGGCTTTAGTCAAGGTGTCAGCTAGGGCTGTCTGTAGTGGGTAGCCATTCCAGCTTTGATCTGGAAGTTCCAACCCCCATTGAGACTTCGGCAACTGTCACGCCTACAAGGCGGGGCCAAGGGAGGCGCCTGGGGACCCGAGATCTGGATGGGCGGGCACTCTCTCGGTTCCGGGACCCTGGATAGTGGAGGTGGGCCAAGAAGAGCTCCAGAGAACACCGCTGGACTGTGATATACCTTCCCCAGACCCCGCGACCTACCTACCCCTTAATTTGTAAGTTACGCCATTAAATTCCTTTTAACTACGTGGAGTGGCCTTAATAATTACACCAATAGCTGTCCTTACCTATTAATGTTCATTGCCACTATGTTTCTACATGATAGAAACATAAGACTTAAAGGGAGGTGAGGTTTATTTTGGCTTACAGGTTTGGGGGGATGGGACAGCTAGGACTTTCCAAAAGCTGCAGGAACATGAGGCTTCTGGTCACATCATAACAGCGGACAGGGAACAGAGGGCTTGTTCTGGAAGCTGTTCAGACTATAATCCTCGAAGGCCAGCTCCCCATGACCTGCCTACAAAAGCATGCCACACCCCAAAGTTTGCAGTTTCCCCAAACAGTATCACCCAAGGACCAGGCGTTCAAATTATAAGCTCACCTGAGACAGGTCCAAGGTCACACAAGAGCTGCTTTACGGAATTCACTTCTCCCTGTACTCTTAGACTGAGTTCTTTACAAGGCTTCCTCCCTCCACCTTGGGCTCTTTGCAAGACATGACGGCTAGATCCCAGCAGAGAAAAAAAAGTGAGACAGCACAGAAGAAAAAGATACGTCAGAATCTTTTTGTTCCCTCTGAGACAGGGTTTCTCTGTGTAGCTTTGGAGCCTGTCCTGGAACTCACTCTGTAGACCAGGCTGGCCTCGAACTCAGAGAGATCCGCATGCCTCTGCCTCCTGAGTGCTGGGATTAAAGGCGTGCACCACCAATGCCTGGCTCAAAATCTATTTTTTTTTTTTTTTTGGTTTTTCGAGACAGGGTTTCTCTGTGTAGCTTTGCACCTTTCCTGGAACTCACTTGGTAGCCCAGGCTGGCCTCGAATTCACAGAGATCCGCCTGGCTCTGCCTCCCAAGTGCTGGGATTAAAGGCGTGCGCCACCACCGCCCGGCTTCAAAATCTATTCTTAAAAGCTGTTTTAGTGAGCTATCTGCTACTGTCAAGAAATGCCTGTGACACAGAGTTCCACCTGCCTCTGCTTCCCAAATGCTAGAGGCATGTGCCACTATACCCAGCACAACTTTTAAAACATTTAAAATAAATTAAAAAAGAAAGAAATGCCTGAGAGAATGAACTTATGAGGAAAGGCTTATGCTATCTGACAGCTGTGGAAGCTCCAGTTCATGGTTAGCCCAGCTGCTTTCAGTCCTGAAGTGAGGTAATGTTTCACTGTGGGGTGGGTTACTTACTTCTCAGCTTGTGGAAGTTGGTCTTTAAATGTCAAGTTAGTGGGGTAGCTGATAGTTTCTTGAGAGGTATAGAAGAGGATACGACAGGTACCGTAGGGAGTGACTGGAGACCTGAGTGAATGTATGTTGTTTGACATGAGCTGGAGTGTCCAGAACCAAGGCCTCAGGCTCGTGGGAAATTCACAAAGCCTTCCCCATATGGGTCAAGTTTAGAACTGATGAAGCCTTCCAAGTGTGAGTGTTGACAGTATGTGCAAGTATGAGTATTTCTGAATGATTGACCCGTGGGAACAAATTAGCAACTGCAGCTTCCTCCTTCCTGATGTTTACAGCGTGAGCGCGCTGCCCGTTGTTGTGTGGTGAAACTTTTGAGAGAAGACACAATACTCACATCTGCTCACCCCAGACAGGGACCCCATGACAAATCGGAAGTACAGACACAGGCAAAGTCCAACTTGGTGAACCAGTGAGCTTTACTGGGGTGACTTACAGGAGCAGAAATGACTCAAAGACAGCTACATCACCAAGGCCCACCCCAGCATGGGTGACAGCTCCTGAAAGCTGGGAACTTGGAGCACACCCCACATACATAAGCAACTTAACAGGTTGTGTCCTTTCCAGGTGTCTGCACCTCTTCCAGGCAGCTCAGCTGGTTTCTGCTTCTTTCAGCCAGCTGGTCCGGTCTGCTCTGAGAATCCTCTCTTGCAGCTTCGGCTTGTTTCCTCTGAGGGTGACTCTCGGCTTTTATTATTTACTCTGTCAAGGAGGAGCCTGGTGAATCTGGTCTGTTTCAGGGATGCTGTCTGGAATGATTTACCTTTCTGCTCAAGGAGCATCCCTGCAG